TGAGCAGGTGGACCGATATCACTGAAATATGTACGTATTCGTAACATTCAAGCAACTGCGCAAAAAACAGCATAGATAATGGTTATATGCAATCAAATAAAATATACTCAAGATCAGAAATTTCCCAGTTGCCAGGGCTCTTTGATATTGTTGGACAATGCATTGTTTAAAACATTCCTAATATCCAGATATATATGAGGTTGTATTGAAACGTCATGTTAGTTGACAAAAGGATATGCACCAGACCGAAACACGTCCTCATCTTCGGATTGTTAGATACTTCTCCGACGACCTTCTATATATATGCTTAATAATGACACCCGTTGAAAGAGTTCAAGTCCGCGAATCTGCAATATTGCGCACAAACTAAGAGCAAGCGAAAGAGGTATTTGTTGACGCTCGGTCCAGTCAGAAGTGAGATTTCTTGTTAGTTGGCTCAACGTTAAATGCACCCTCCTTTATGGTGTCGCTGTTGTTTAGCGGCATATTCGCGTTTACTAAAAGTATACCGCAAAATGTAATCACACCTTTTGTTCCGTAGATACCCTCGGGAAGCTCTGACGCCTGCTTTGCACAGAGTAAAATATATACGAATAATTAACCAGCTGCAATCAGGAGTATCGAATTCGGAGCGACAACGAATGTTCGACGATCCAACCTCAATGACAAATTGATCAAACGCATCATACTGCGGTTCAGCGGTCATTCACTAAACGCCTCATAACATATTCCACGACATTGTCATAGATGAATCGATTGGTTATTTTATAGCTTGAGTCCCTACGGATGCGACGATTGAAGAGTTATCTTGTTGTTTTGTGTGATGCACATGCCAAAAGTACATTCAGTGTATCCAGCAGTATTACGCAAAGCACCGGCTGTGTCGCATTAGAAACAAAAACGATAAAGTAATACTGCTATTTTAAAAACGTACAAATCGGACAACTGTTTCCTCTACCAAATCTTTGCATTGCGGCATAGACTTTCAAGTACTGTACATAACATTCAATCTGGGATAAATTTTCGGAAAGCTATTTGTTCAGTTCTCAAAGTTGAAAAATTTAACCATATATTGCGTCAAACTACAAAATGAACATCTTTATGAACCATCGCAAAATGTATATAATCAGGATGCCCGGTTTTCTCTTTAGTCGCTAGTTTAGATTGATTCCCTCACAACTAATAGTCGGAATAAATTATTTTGTCTAATACCGAAATATTTTCAGTATTGTATTACGCTTAGGCTTGCCGAAGCGAGAACTGTTTCTAGTATTGTCCATTTTATTTCTTGGTACTCTTTGTGCACTACCAACTAACCTTGGTTCTTCCCTGGTAGTCCCAATTCAGGCAATCCCCGCAGTCTTCCATGCTCGGTAAAGTTCAGTTCGCTTTCAACCTCTTTGCTTCCCGATTGGCTTCACCTGACGGTATCAGCTGAAAATCTACCAGGAATTGCCCTACTTATAAATATTTCGGAAGCTTAATTATCCACGTTTGTTGCTTGCTAAAAGCTGAATCAGACAACCGTCAGACTACATCTCATGCTAGCCTAGCGTATCACATTTAAATTATTGTGGTTTTCGTTCTATTTCTGACAACACTGGCCGATTCCTTGATGTGATGATTAAAGCTTCCAGGCTAATTAGCAGCATCCACGCAAGGCAAATTACCACATACCCACTGGCGAAGAAAATATGCTGTACTCATTTGAGCCGGGCTGAATGGTTGTAGTGTTTATCTCCGTCCATTTAGCTGCATCCTCAAAGTGTTAGCCTACCTGCTCTTCACCAACATCCGTATAATGACGGCCCCATTCCCTATGACAGGGTCTAAAATAGAGGGTCTACAATATGACGACATATTTGTTCATAACGCCGGCCATTAACATATTAGTCAAGCTGATGACGGCTAACTTGCTTTTAAACCACATCAGCGTATGACGAGATGAGGTGCAGAGGTGCGGAGGAAACCTCTCGAGGGATTACACCGCATGGACGCTGGTGCGCAGGCGACGGTTCCACGGAAAATCGTGCTACATTGCTTGAACTGCCGACTACAAATCCTTTTGTTCCTATTCAATTTGCTTCGATATTTTATTAATTTTAACTAGATGAACTCCATAGAAAATACTGCGAATCTTTCACCAAACGAAAATATTTCGACATCATCCGATTTTGTTGGGCTGCATGATAAGTACAAGAACATTGTCTGTCTCGCAATTTCGAGAAATATTCAAGGCACATTTTATTTAATGCAACGGAGGAACGTAGTGGGTAATTCCCCACCCCAGCAGTTCCATTTCTTCCGTGTTGGTCACCGCGCGTTGTGGTGTTAAGCAAATAGTTCATGACGGTCGATGAGTGTAAACTAGGTGGCAACGGATCGTACGAGGAGCAATAGCGAGACCTCTTCATCCAGGGGCAATATTATACTTATTACGCAAATCATTTCCAGCAGTCTGCATTTCTAATCTGCTTTTCTCACTGATCGGTGTATGCTGGAATGACCATTGGCGCATCCTGAGTTGCTGATTTCCTTAATCATTGCGATCCAAACGTGAAAAATTAGCTTACCTAAATTAGGTAAAAATCGATTCCCAGTACAGCTTTAACAAATACGGCGAGGTATTGCTTATGATTGCACACACCGTCCTTCCTTATCAGATATCCATGTCTACAGCAGTATGAGGAAGGTAAGGCTACCGACAAAATAATTTTGAGTGCTCAATTTGTGAGCGAAAAGTCTATCAGTGCGACGGCCAACAGCCGATAACTGGGCATTGTACCGCTCAATCCGAGTAAGATTATTTCTGTATTTATAAAATTACACAACCTGTAGGTTGGGAAAACCTTGAGCCCAAAGGAACAAATTCATTTATTGCACACTCAGCTAGTTTAAACCACAATGCTTCGCATATACCATCTATTCCGACGGTCATCGACAGTTTGCTTCGGGACACAAATTGACAATAACTTCCCTGTCGTGTACGCCCGAAACACACGTGTGCTGACAAATGTGAAGCGACTGACCTCAAAGGTTATTGCGTCAATTCTGTGTAAATATGGACATAATCACAGCTCCATTGACACATGCCCGATGGCGGCGATTATACAGCATCTCCCATGCTCACTTCTGCTACTATCGACTCACACTTAATGGAACTGATGCTATCTATCATTAACTATGCAACGAAGGAGAGCACATGTATATGCCGATTTCGATTATCCGAACACTGCTACATAACGTGCAGTACATGAGAGATGAGTCAGGAGGGTTGCATTCTATCGAAGAAGTTCGTTGGCAGTCGTCCTTCTGCATTCACAGTGATTCCCTTCCTCTGTGTTTGAGTGTTGTGCAAAGTGTTTGGTTCATGTTGAACGGCAAAAGCAATACTGTGTTTAAAACTATAGCACAGCACCAGGTTATTCGAGACACGGGTTACATCAAATAGGAAATACAAGATTGCGTAACAGTTCAAAAGTAGACTGGTGAAAACAAATGGTGTCAAATACCGTGGATTAGATTCGGAAAGGTTATGACTAAACGTGAACGGATGATGTTAGCAAGGGCGAGTGTCAGCTTGTTAACTTGTCGAGCAGACGAATGACAACATGAATGCAAATAAGAATGAATGAAGGATATGTACAACTAAGGCCAAGTTAGTTGGTATACAGTTGAGTTGAACAAGAGCGTAGGTTAGGCGTAAACATGCTCTTTCCGGAAGATGTAGTACCCCATAAATGTCGGGGGAAATTGAGGCGACCGATAACAAAGGTAAAATTGAAGGCTGTTATATTTAGTTAGAACAGCAAATTTTTATTCGGGCTTACTATTGGGATGGAATGGTTTCTGACATGCAGCGCTGACTTGTTGGATTTTTTTCTCGATGAGGAAAGCTGCAATCTCACCATTGGTTTATCTTCAAGTGTATGGCATTACTTTGATTTTACTTAGATGTAACCCAAAAATATGCATCCATACATTTATTGCGGCAAATGAGAGAGCGGTTTTCGTAATGACATGGAACTCGTCCTTCTTTCTGTACAAGCAATCAGGCAGTGACAATTTGTGAAACCTTCTGAGAGAAAGCGTCTACTCTCATATCAAGGAATTACTAATACTGCAAGGGTGTTAAAATGGAAGGCTTTTTGGTGCAAAACATTGTTCTATCTGCTCATGAAACTTCCATTTTTCCTCATCTTCGCTGAGGAAATACTAATTCTAGGCTACTTCCAGATAATCCAAATGCGGTACAAGCTCCTCAGCTAGATTCTGTGGCGTTTCTGTGTCGCCCTTAACCTCTTAAAAGTCACAATACCTGGACACTGTCAAGGTCTCCACTGTGAGAAGAAATTACCCAGAATGTTATCTTTCTTTTGAACCTTCCTATTTTGTCATTTGCATTGAATATGTTTACAGCTGTTCATCGTAGTGCTTCGGTTACCTCATTTATATTAACGAAGAAATCGAACAAATATGCAAGCCCTGCCAACCACATTCTCTCAGTCATCCGGGACGGGAAATCCACTTGATGATCCATGAAGAAAACGGGGTACCCTCTGCGTAATTCGAACAAAATCATTATTATACTTCCACGTGGTGCCAGCATAATTTCGTGTGCATCAGCAATATCGTCACACTGAATATTGAAGTGTTGGTTGTTCATGGGTTGAAAGTTAATGGAATTACTATTTCACTTCCCTATAGAAGATTGCTTTGAGACTGGGTATCATTCTATCCGCACTTGGTTGGTGATCAATAGTCCATTAGCTACTTATGCAGGCTTGGCAACGGCTTCGATGCTTGCCACAACACCAGAAAGCATTCCGGTCATTGCGCTGGCAATATAATTGCGAATATTGTTGCAATTGGCCTCTGGAATATTATTTTTGTACATAGTTATTTACGATGTTGAATATCACCGCCCACTATTGTCATTGGGTAGAGGTTTACCCAAAGCACGTCTTCTCCTGGAAATGTTGGATTTTTCTATGTCACAAGCACATGTAGCACTGTAAGTGTGACCATGGCTAATACAGTTGGAGAGCAAAGTGAACGGATCTGATGCGTGAGGTTAACTTATTCTTAACAGCCATTGCAAATGCATTAATTCTTCGAGATACGATATCATTTGATGGTGGTATTGGAGACAGATGGATGTACCGAGCCATTTGGACTGCACGTCGCTTGATATGTTCCTCGGTTACTGTGTGAGGTTCTGCTGTCAACGCAATATGATAACTAATCATATAAATTGCTTCAGTAGCTTTTCCCTTTACCGTCTGAGAAGCAGGATGCATGTACGTTCTGGTGGTCAACAGTTCATTTCGCCTGCGATCAGTTAATCGTTTTCTACCCGTACAATCCGCAAGAATATTTCAAAGCACCGCCGCAAGTCTACTGGCACCATTGCACTGTTAGGAAGCGGATGTTTGCACAACACACACTGTGGGCAATTGTCACTAGACTATACAAATCCAACAGAAAGATAACTGTTGCTATAATTACTCCTCTTATCTAATTGTACAGAGGCTCCGGTTCGCAAAGATGTATGTTGCATCCTCTCTTTTAGTATAGATATGTCGAACATAACAGTTTTTGCATTCCTAGAAGGCACAATACGAGACCCAAACATTACTATATCGTAATTCCACAACGAATAGTTTTGTCACAGTAAGCAATGTTTCAGCCTTTAGAAAACGGTCCATGTTGATTGTGTGTCCGAATGCAAAAATGGGATTTATGCAGCATATGCGTCCAAAACACGCCTCGAATTTGATTACTATTATAATTGCAGCTTTGAATGAAGTAAAAATTGAAGCAAATCTAACATGCACCTTTCGTGACGTCACACAGAAATCAAGTAAGCACACCCATAAAAGTCCGAAATCTTCACGCTTTACTTACGGGCTTCTGCGGTTGGGATTGTGCCATTAGAACTCGCCGGTTTGCTGACTTCAGAGGATAGCAACTTTAGCAATGACCGCATAAAGGAGCCCTAGGTTATGAGGTGGTTTTCACCTTCTTCCGGGAAACAGAGCCTGGGTTATGTGGACTTGCGCCTACCCATGTAGCCTCTACCCATCTCATCACTGTGAGATTAGCACACAAAGCCACTGACGTTTAACAATTTTTGTTCACTCATATTTTAAATTCTTGTCGAGAACTTGGAAGGATCGTGTTTTACATGCACCAAGCAAAATACTAATGTAGACCGGCAACTAACTTTCCAGATTTTTCACAGTAGGTTTGTCATCAACCTATAAGCTAAAACAATCACTTCCAGAAAAAAGTATAATATCATATCTGGTTAGACCAAGAGAAAGCAAGGCCACCGACGCTTAACAGCTAATTCAACTATGCTTACTTCCGATAAGTGCAATTGTGGGCACAAACAGGTGTCTAGGAGCAGCGACTTGATTAATTCTTATTGCAACCAAACATGCACTCATTACCATTACAAATTGGTTCAATGTTCAATTTGAGTAGTTCCCAGAGAAAAGATTTTGTACCGATCTCATGCGGTGAAATCGTTTATCGCGGTGGTTTCAGTGACCAATTGCTTAGGTAGAATTTAGTGCTAGGTGGTAGGTTGGCACAGTCACCGTCAGTTACAGGTGGGACCATCGTGCTGCACCCCAAACCTAACACCCGATTACACTGCTTCCGGTGCTTTCTGGGGACATTGCATCTGCAGTTGCTGAAGCATTCAGGGAGATATGCTGAGATGTAGAATCCGCGTGCAGGAGCAGCACAGAGTCCGCTGAAACCGCAAATGCACCACAATACTTTCATTAGTCTGTGTTAGCTAGTCGGTATTTGTCGATGTTTGGGAAGGAGGTAAACCTGCTCCTCGTTGAGCTCTCAAGGAAGTTTGGTAGCGCAGAGCACCGTCGTTTATATGAGCATCAGAGCTATCGGACCGGTGATCAATTACTGGAAAGTGCACATGAATGCTTACTCTAACACCGCTTGAATGTGTGAGCTCGTTTTGCGCCCCCCATACCAGATGAAAATGTGTCGAGGCATCCTGGAATACTCCAATTGCAGTGGTATCACATTTGCTTTGATATTCTGTAAAATGTTGCCATCAAATTTTATTTCACATTTAAGTGCCGATACACATTCAATGGGACGTAACGTGTGCGTTCCAGCGCCCGGCATTCACACTCCAATTATTTACTAATATACTGACGACTCCCTTATATATAACACTGAAGCACTCCAAACTATTTTGCCTTAATCATCATTTTGCGCGTTCTCAGACAAATGATATTACTCGTTCCATCGTCTACAGCTTCGCCGTAGTCCCCTTTTCCTTCTCTACGATAAGCACGTATTTTCCACCTCTTAACAGCATCCTCTTCTCTCTTGGAATCAAACTACTACTGTCTGTTTCTGATCCCTCTAAATCCACGCTAACTAGGAAGACTCACTGACATTGCATCAATTCAGTGGAACCTCGTCTGATCTATCTTTCGCTCATGTACCTTCTTCCGATTAATCATGCTTACTCGTTCCAGGGTATTCGGCATATGCATACTCAATGACAACTTTCAACTGATTCTCTGTTCAATGGCTTTGTTGGAATGGCATGCCGATAAGGTGCGCTACATATCTTGTAATCAATACCACTCATATATGAAATATCTTGTGAATGAATATGCATGTTTTATTTGGAATATCTGCAAACCCCGGTCGTCTAAGTTGGAGTGGGCACCAGCTGCTATGCAACAGTTTTCTTTTGTCCGTTCCAGCTTTACCTGGGTCGCAGGCTCACTGTTGCCAGGCGGCCTCACTGGCACAGCGGAACTTCGGATATCCTGACGTTTGCTTATATTCTGCAACCCGCATTGGTCCTCATTATTTCCCACTTATTCCTTTTGACTTCACTCCTACCGTGTGTTAGTTAAACCGCTGGGAAAACTGTGGTGTGGACTCCCAATTCCCGTTAACAATCTCTCCACTCATGGCTTCACTTTCGTTTTACCAGCTTGCACACTTGCCATTCGCTTGCACATTCACTGACGCGTTGGTAGGTAAAACACCCAGGTCCACTCAGTACGTCTCTAACCCAGGTTATCAATCCATACTTCGCTTCGATTTTATTTGGCATTATCATCTGTATAGAAATCTCCGACATATTGAAAGCGTTGGCAAACGTTTTCCTGAGGTCAAGTTTATTCTGTCATATGGAGTACCTTAACCACCCGCTGGCCCGATTACCTGCATAACAAATTTCTAAGCATTTGCAGACTATCAAGTATATGTTATGCATAATTTATGCTATCCTACAATCCAGTCATCCTATATATAAAAGACGTCGTGCCTATTGATTCCAACATCGAAATTATTCCTGATATTTAGCCTGCGGATTTTTGTACCAGATTTTATACGAACTAGATTCGTTTAACTCTGCTAAGCCTGCGTGAGCTCTATTACCCTTTGCAACATCAGCCCCTAGTCCTATGTCTCTTCACGTTACTGTTGTTTGCAACTGCTTTCGATACTATGTATCTACAATTCTCAGTATCAGAAAGCTTTGTGCATTTTATGACACTTGAGTACCGCTATTCATCTGACATTCCGATACGATTTCTTTCACCAATTTACGGTGTACGTTCCGAAAATCTATGCGCTAGCTACCCGAACGTAACTTAAACCGCATTTCTCACAACTGATGTACAAGACGTTTGCACTACACTGCACATAGTGATCGGACCCGTTGCACTGTATCGAGTCACACGTTTCTGAGAACCATACACATAGTCCTAATCAACACCTTTAGCATCATGTCATAAATTCCTTTCTATATAACACACGGGGAAACATATTACCTAGTGCTCGACGAAATATCAGTAATATGGAACTGCTGATTTCGCCGGTGCTCGTTACAATCCGAATGAGATTAGGGTTTTAATGAATGTTGGTAAACGTGCAGACGAAGACAAACAAAATTTTAATGTCCTCTCCCAAATTTCTATATGGATAGACCACGGGGCAAACCAGAAGAAAACTATGCTTGACACTCAGGATCTCATTCTGACATAAAACCTCCACAGCAGAAAGATTATAATGAGCTACCAACGGAAATACATTCAGTTCAAAGCGTATAAATTTACAAATTTGTACACGATGGCATCTCTCTTACAAGGCGGGCTCATTCCGTTCATCGGATTAGGCGTGCTTCGAAACTTAAAACTTGCCAAGGCATTCGCAAGTGCAGGAACAAATATACACATAAGGATTCTACTTACAGATGTCAAGTACTTGTCTCCATGTGTTTGCCCAATATTACTCAATCATTCAACAACGGCTGATTAGTGGTGCAATAAACCAAGCAACTCCGAGCAATAGAAACATTATAGTGTTGCTCATCCCAACACTGGCACCCACAGACCGCGGTTTCGTCCTGTTTGGGACTCATCAGTTCGAGATAGTCTGAGTTGGGCTGGAACTCAGAGCCTAGTGGCTCATGGTTGACGCCATAAGCACTATGCCACTGAGATCCACGAGCAACGCTTGGTCCAGCGGAAACAAAGGAGACATCTACACAACCATAGGAAAAATTATGGCGAAAAATGACCGTTAATATCGCGAGGATAATCGGTCAGATACAACCGTGCCAATGTCATATCACCGGTCGGCAGTGTTCCAGGACGCGATGGGTTTTCATCTGGCAAGCTTTCTCCTTACAAATTGCTACTGATATCTGTTTAAAAACGCTGCGAGGTGGCGGATGAGACTTGCCACTCATTAAAGTCACTGCCCCAACCAAGCATTGGAAATTGACCAATAACAATTTTGCCAAATGCTGATCACGCCCAAATAGGCGTACCTTGCTCCGTCGAGAATAAAATATTTCTTTATTTATTTGTAACCACTATCTTCATACATAGAGTGCCAGAACATCTTCCTAACGATGCTCAAGGGACCGGAAAGTATGAAATAGAACAGTGGCGATTCATTCGTGAAAAACTTACTCTGAATAATGTTGCGGCGCTATGGCTTACCAGGATACCTCTCTCACCAACTTGTAGAGGTCGCTACCATAGAATTCTAAAACTTGTGGTTCATTCAGAGCAACAAGCAAAGAATGTTTTAGATTGATGATGGAGAAATCGGAAATATCTGCCTTCTAAAATTCGGTCAAAAGTTGCAAACGCTTTGCACAGCTCAAATATTAAGGCAACTGAAGCAGCAGCATACCGACGAACGTAAAGAAGCGCAACTTGACTGCTACTTTATTTGACTCGGACGTAGGTCTAAAGGAAAATTGGGGCGCACCGTAGCCGAATCAAATTGCAAACAAGGTACCATTGCCCCATCAAAAAAGGAGTAACTGCCGACCTCCCATTGGTTGGCATTCTCCCGCAAGTGACCGCTTCACCCCTGAGGGCTCATGGTTGACGCCAAGCTCAACTTTGCATTCGTTTCCGCTGGACCAAGCGTTGCTCGTGGATCTCAGTGGCATAGTGCT